CAGAGTATACAGATTTGTGCCCAATTAATTATATCACTGGGGAATTGCCTTGATCTTGAAAAATAAAAAGTCTAGTAACTTTTAGCAGTAGAAATACACTTACCAAATGCTTCCTTCTCAAATACTGCCGGCGAAGGACCAGTGGTTTAAACAGCAGCATCCAAGGTACACACAGTAGGGCAACCACTACCAGGAAACACTGAATTCCTTTCTGCAGAGTAAGGAGAAGGAAAAGGTCCATCATATAAAAGTCTACTGATCACATACGCAGTTTCCAGTTTCCAAATCTGGCACAAATTTCCCCCAACAGTACTTTCTTACTGATCTATGAATAACACTAGACAGTTTCTCAAAATAATTAGCACATTTTGTAACAAAGCCCTAGAAGTGTTCCATAGAAGGGCAGTTATAAATTTTTTAGGGGCAGAGAAATATCTGGCTTCCTGATCAAGGACAATCATCTCAGACAGCCCGCCTCTGTGCTGACATACCTGTCCAGAATACAACATTGAATAACCAGACTCTGGGTAGGAAAAGAGGAACATGTTTATGAAATGGATCAGAAGGCTTGGTGCATTCTCAGATGTATGAGCATCATAGGCTGTCCACTTGTAAAAAATAAGGATAACCAAATAGCCAAACAAAGAAGTCATGAAGATTATTTCAGGAATAAATCCAAAGTAGATATTCAGGGGCTTCTTGAAATAGCTAAAAAGGAGAGAGAAAAAAATGTTAAGGGTAAATAGGCCTAGGGCCACTCCTACACTGAATGGAGTATCCACTAGATTTTTCTACTTACTAGCCCCTCAATTCTCTCTTTATCACTTTAAGAATCAGCAACCAGAAGCTGGAGGCAACAGAGACAATGCAGGACTAACTATCATGGTCAAATTTCTGAACCTTGGTTTTGTTTTGTTGTTGCTTTTTTTATTTTCTTTTTTTTTTTGAGACAGGGTCTCACTCTGCGACTCAGGCTGCAGTACAGTGGTGCAATCTTGGCTCATTGCAGCCTCAACCTCCCTGGGCTTAGGTGATCCTCTTACCTCAGCCTCCTGTGTAGCTGGGACTACAGACATGCGCCACCACGCCTAGCTCATATTTTTTGTAGAGATGGGGTTTTGCTATGTTGGCCAGGCTGGTCTCAAACTCCTGACCTCAGGTGATCTGCCCGCCTTGGCCTCCCAAACTGCTAGGATGACAGGCGTGAGCCATTTCACCAGGCCTCAAACTTCTGAACCTTAAACGGCTCCAATACCATCCCCACCATTCTCTCCATGAGAAAGAGAATGGAAAAATTTAGTACATTCTGAGACCACAGTTCATCATCTTTTTTTTTTTTTTTTTTTCTTCTATGAGTATACACAACATTAGCATTAGTATTTTTTTTTCAGAGACTGTGTCTATTTTTTTATTTAATTTTTATTTTTAATAGAGATGGGGTCTCTTGTGTTACCCAGGCTTGTCTTGAACTCCTGGGCTCAAGCGATCTTCCCACCTTGGCCTCCCGAAGTGCTGGGATTATAGGCATGAACCACTGCGCCTAGTCCACACCTCATAATTTTATGTCAGTTGCACCTCATGGAAGAAAAAGAACTCACTTATTTTGATGAAAATTGATCAAATTTTTTTCAAGGATCTTTACTGGAACAGTAAATTGTTAAAGAACTAATATTAAGCCTCATTTAAGACCATGAAATTTTTTTGTTTTGAGATGGAGTTTCACCCAGGCTGCAGTGCAGTGGTGTGATCTTGGCTCATTGCAACCTCTGTCTCCTGGGTTCAAGCAATTCTCCTGCCTCAGCCTCCCGAGTAGTTGGGATTACGGGTGCCTGCAACCATGCCCGGTTAATTTTTTGTATTTTTAGTAGAGACGGAGTTTCACCATGTTGGCCCAGCTGGTCTCAAATTCGTGACCTCAAGTGATCCACCCACCTCAGCCTCCCAGAGTGATGGGGTTACAGGTATGTCACTGCACCCGGCCAGATCATGAAATTTTTTTTTAATTTTTAAATTTTTTTTTTTTTTTGAGATGGAGTCTTGCTCTGTCATCCAGACTGGTGTGCAGTGGCGCCATCTCGGCTCACTGCAGCCTTTGCCTCCCAGGTTCAAGTGATTCTCTTGCCTCAGCCACCCAAGTAGCTGGGATTACAGGCACATGCCACCACACCCAGCTGATTTTTGTATTTTTAGTAGAGAGGGGGTTTCACCATGTTGGCCAGGCTGGTTTTGAACTCCTGAGCTCAGGTGATCCACCCGACTTGGCCTCCCAAAGTGCTGGGATTACAGGCGTGAGCCACCATGCCCAGCCAGACCATTACATTTTTAGAAAAGCACTTCTATAATGTAGAATGAGGTTCTATGTTACGAATCCCTCCCCAAAGATGTCATGATTTCTTTAGGCAAATGCATTCTCTAAACTACACACATTCTTATGACAGAAATGGAACAACTCACATGTGGTTGAATAGGCTCAGGCTGACTCCAAACAGCATATGGATGATACCAAGGATAACAGACATCTTCATCTTAAAAGAGTTCAAGAAGGTCAGTTTATTGGTAGCAATGTTCCAAATCTGTCATAATCCGAGAAAACGAAAAGGCATTATAAAGAATTCTCAAAGGGAAAAATATTCCTCTGTTTAAAAGAACAGTTTTTATTTATTAATCATTAATATTTATTATGGAAAATTCTAAACAGATACTTAAGCAGACAGAAAGGTATAACAAACTCCTATGCACCTATCACTCTGCTTCAAGAATTTTTTTTTTTTTAATCTTGCTTTTGAGGAGAATGCTTCAAAAATTACTATCACCTTTGGACTTGGGAAACAAGATTATTGCCACTGACTAATCTCCATGTTATTATGAAGCAAAGTCCAGATATCTTGTCATTTTACCTGTAAATATTTCAGCATAGACGTCAAAAAGGAAAAGACTTATTTGATTAAGATGAAGTTTTGCTCTTTTTTTTTTTTTT